ATTATGAAACCCAGGACAGAAAATGGCAGCATGATAAATCCTAGGAGGTAACAGGAAACATAAAGAAAAGCAGCAACGTAAATCCAGTAAAATATAGTAAAACTCAAGCCCTTTCTAGTCAGTTCACGAATGGTCTTGAAAGCTCGTGACGGGCTGTTATTGCGGCTGTTTGTAAAAGACATATCTATTGGCTGGTACCGAGACCCCAAAATGATTGGATCTGTGTGTAGTGATATAGGTTCACTTTCACTCAGGGAGGTAATGGAATTCAACATAGAATTACTGGAAGTATTTCTTATCTCTGTGGACTTTGGTTTTGTCTCATTTGTACTTCTTATGCTATTTAATCTTGTGGGCTCTTCCTTGTAAGCTTCTTTGTTGCCAGTTACACAGGAAAAGTCTTCTGGATCACATTTTTTTTCTGTATACAGGTTATGGTCGTAGTCAGGATCATTTCTGAAGGCTTCGTTTTCTCCAACAGCGTGAGGTCCATTATGAGAACTCACTTGCCTTGTGTTTATTGAGAGACTTTTAGTGTAGTGAGATTTGTTTAGCTCCTTTTCACTTATTGTCATATGTGGCGCAAAATTTGTACTTTTGCTATCACTGCCATCATTCTCCTCTATCTTGTGAAGTTTTGAATCGTTAGCTTCAAAATTTAGTCCACTTACATAATTTTGGGTCTTTTTATTTTCTGATAAAATTTGGGCTTGTGTGACTCCATCGACTTGTGTTTCTTTCTTATTAATTCCCTTTATAGTTCTTACATGTAATTCTGGATCTTTTGTCCCTTGCAGACTGGATGCATTTTCTTCCAAGACATGATCTGTAATTTTATCTTCCTTCTGTTGTTGATTTACTATGTTTTTTGTCATCTCTTGACCAGAGGATACCACACCAAGGCTAGTGATACCATTTTCCTTCTTGTCAGTAATACTCTGTACATTTTTTGATGCTGTGTTAGAATGTGTTTGTGGCTTTCTAGATTTTTCAGATGCTATTTCCTTTTGTTGTATCTCGAAATCACAGCAGAATTGCAGACTCTGAAGACACGTAACACCCTGTTAAATTGGAAGAGATTTTATAATGTAGTCTTTGATGATGCCATATTTACAATATAGAAGGGCATTAATATAAACCCTTAAATGATGCTATATGTATGGATAAGAGTGTAATCGTTTGTGTCTATTTCACATAGGAGTTGAATGAAAAAATGCATTATGCACTTAAATAATTCATACTTCTGAAAAATCAAAAGCATACACTTTCACTCCCTCTCTTCTCATTCTGTCTCTTCTCTCGAACTCTCCTTATCTTCCACGCCGAACTTTCTCCTTTGTTTTTTGTCCAATGCCTTTTAATTTCTCTTTAGACATCTATTTCCTACTTCCCTATCTCTTCGTTTCTCTTTTGCTCCTCTATGTAATTCTCTTCTTTTTTCATTCCTACCTCTCACTCCTTCCCTTCAATCTCTCTCTCTCTCTCGCATCCTCTGCCTGCCTCTCCTTCCATTCCCTTTCTCTTTCTTTCTTTCTTTCTTTTTCTTTCTCTCTTTCTTTTTATTTCTCCCTCTTTCTTTCTATATATAAACACACGCACACACACACACACACACACACACACACACACACACACACACACACACACACACACACACACACACACACACGCACACACACACACACACACACACTCACACGCACACACATACACATACACACACACACACACATAGATAGACACATACTTCCCACTTTCTCCGTAGTGTTGTTTCTCCCATTTCTCATACGCTAGAAAGCCATTTGAAATAAAGTATTTTCTACTGATTGGAGACAAAAACTATGTACAGTTTATATAAATACACAACTAGGTACATAAAGACCACATACTACTTTGGTGAGCAGTTCCCTGGACAGAGGAAGCGAGATAGGACACGGATCATGTGGTTCTCGGCACATGCAGGAATCGGGGTCAACACCGACCCATGCTGGTGAGGATCTCAAGGTCTCTGCCAGGGATGTTCTGGGAGGAAGAGGTAAGGGTCTTACTGTCTGAATTAGTGTTGGAATGGGTGTGCATATATATATACATATACATATATATGCATGTATATACATATATACATATATATATACATATATATATATATATATACATATATATGTATATACATATATATATATATATATACATATATATATATACATATATATATATATACATATATATATATATATATATATATATATATATATATATATATATATATTTATACATATATACACATATACACACATATGCAGTGGCGTAGCGTGAAATTTCCAATGGGGGGGGGGGGGGATTACAAGTGTCTTCCCAAAAAATGTACACAGGCGTCGGAGGCGCGTGGAGACGCGCTGGAAGCGCGTCTAGGGGAGGGTGATAGGGAGGGGTCCGGGGCCCCCCGGGAAAATTTTGATAAAATACATGTTATTTTTGGCAGTTTTAAGCATTCTCCGAAGATAAATCTCAGCGAATTTCCCATATTCACAATGTTAATAATTCCGGTGTATTGAAAGGCAAAAAACATATTAGGCTCATATCAAGAATGTTTGATATATCTACATCTCAGTGTTTTTATGGGAAAAAGTCTCAAAGTAAATATTATAGTCCGAAAAGGGATTTCTTCCAATAATATTATTCCAAACGGAAATTCAGTCGTCGTTGCCTGCTCGCCAGTCTGTTCACGATGTCCTCTGGACTCACGCGGATGTCGCGATGGATGTTGAGTATCGCCAAGCCATTCAAACGGTCTTGCCCAGTTGTGTTCCGCAGATATGTCTTGAGCCTCCGTAGTGTGGAGGAAGACCTACAAGCACAAAAAATAATTTTGAGCTGTATGCATTTTAAAAAGGCAGTTAAGCTTTGTGTGGCAGTTAATTTACTTGACGTTCAGCACTGTATTGCTTTGTAGAGGTATTTTCTATCTCTAAGCCTGTTTCTATATGTTTAGATTCAATAGTTTTTTTATATGTTTAAATTCAACGTGTTGTTAAACCTGTGCTATTTTGTTTATGATTCACTTCAGTTGCATATAGATTTATATAGTATATTTTAAAATGAAAAAAGTTAAGCTACCTTTCGCTGGAGCTGGTTGACACTGGCAGCGTGGCAAGGATCTTCAATAGTCTTTGCACAGTTGGCAGCATATCCAGGATGGATCCCGACAAAGCTTCTTTGGAGGCTTCTCCATCGCTGCCACTCGTCGATACCCCAACTGCAGTGAGGTCATCGCAGTTGACGTCTTGGCTATATTTCACCAGTAGAACTTTGAACTTTGATTCAACTGGCAGATGACGTGGTCCAAAAAGGGCAAAAACAAAGCAATGCGGAAATAATCCTGGGGACTGCTGGCTTTTCTCAAAATACCAAATGTGGCAGGCTTATAACAAATAAATACCAAGAGTATGTCTATATGTCTATATAAGAGGCTAAGCAGTATTTTTCATCAAATTTATACCAGTAGCAGACGACATATTTGCAGACGATACAATATTTTTTTTTTCCGGTTTAGAAACATCAATGGGATTTTTACGTAATTATCCGCTAATATGACTGATGTCATACTTAGCTATAATTAGTTATAACTTAGCTATAATTTCCGAAAATTACATAATTGATTTTATTTTGCAATGTTCTGACCAAAACATTGCGGGTCGCTAAAAAATGACGAATACGATGTAAATAATGACCAAAATATATGTTATATATTAACTGCTAACTTTTGTGCGTCCAAAATGTGAAAAATAGGGCTTATTATAGTCACGCATTTCAGAACGATCGCAAGAAAATATCGAAAAAAATGAAACCCAGTAGCTTTAAACAATCACATAACAATCACATACTCACACTCACAATCAACAATAAAAAACATGGTTTTTCCTAAAAATGCAACATACAATACTGGTATACTGTATATGTTATATAACAATTCAATTTTTGTATACTCATATATTCATGTGTTATATTGTGAGAGTGACAATTTTTAGTCTTTAAAATCTATTATACGACGATTGTAAGATCAATAGCAAATTCTCACCTAAGACTTTTCTCCGAGAAAGAGACCAATGTCATTCTTTGAAACTGACAATTCTGTTGTGCCTGATGTGGACGCGGCTGCCGATTCTGTTGCATCTTCACAACTGACTGTCGAAGTATCAATAATTGATTCTGCTCTGTCTTCGGCATTATCATCGGACGGTTCAGACCGGCTCTGAACTTTATTAAAAAAAGACTGTAGTTTTGACTGTTTGGTTTTCTGCCTTTTCCTGTCACTCATCACGATAACGCACGTTATTAGGGTTGTAAAATAAGCACACTAAGACTAACAAGATTAACGTTCTAACAATTTCCAAACTTCTCTCAAACACAGACTGCCCACTTACTGGAATATTTAACAATAGTCACGATACCATATCTAGATCTCATAAAACTGATTGGCTAATATTTTCAGGCTCAATTATAGCTGGAATCAGTTCTAGGCTGTACGTAGTCATAGTGATGTGAATCATGTGATTCATCATTGTAGTATAATGTAGGATGGGGTAGATAAGGTGGTTCTATAGTTGTAATTCAATATCACAATTGACAAGCTCTCATCAAAGAGGGTTGTATTTCCTGGCTGTTTCTCGGCATATGTACACATTTAATTGATCTTGCTAACAATATCAGTAACTAGATAACATTGTGCTACCCATTTCCTTTCGCAGGACCCTATTGTTCGGGTTACATCTTATCTGTTGGAAGATCAAAGGCAAAATGCCGTTATATGCAAACCAGGGCATTTAACCCATTCCCGCCGGGCATGCCATGCCATGGCCACTGTGAGATTACTCGTTTGATTGTCTTTACGTATAGATGGCTACACTTGTACTAAATCACCAATGAGCCAGTTACGAGTACCGCCTGTCTCGCCCGTTCACTCTTTTCTTTGATTTACGAAATATTTTATGTTATCTTATTTTGCTGTTACTAATGTTAAAAAACATTATAAAAAATATAATGTTTATGATAAAAATAACACCATCGATATTCATGGCACTAGTGAAAAATACGTTTTTTCCCGCCATTTCAAATCGGCGCTAACAGAGCCATCAATGGGCAGACATTTAACAAAAAAATATAGAAAATAGGCACAGCATTTTCCCCATTTTTTGTTCATTTTCCCCGGCGGCAATGGGTTAAGGACGATGAATGATAATTTGTGTATTACAAAGACAAGTTTGAGAAAATTTTTTGATTTTTACATCCCTGTACGTCGTCTGTGGCGCATTCTGTAAGTTATATAAATGTAATATTATAACTTCAAGTTTGATATGGTGCCCTATATCCATGGCCCATGGGGGGGGTTCTGATCCCCCGAACCCTCCCCTTCGCTACGCCAATGCACATATGCACACACACACACACTTTATATATATATATATATATATATATATATATATATATATATATATATATATATATAGATATAGATATTTATATATATATATTTTTTTCAACAGCCACTTATTCCACTACAGGACATAGGCCTTTCTTAATTCAGGATTGTGAGGGTAATTGGCAGTGCCACTCTTGCCCGATTGGATGCCCTTCCTCATCAATCGCGGTTCGGCGCGGTAGCACTTTTGCCACGGTGGCGACTTCCCCTGCGACACCTGCGTTTGACTTCTCAAGGCGATATGTCGTTTTCTCGCCTTAAGGTCAGGCTGAAGCCAATGGTCGGAGGCATTTTTTACAGCTGCAGTGGTGGGGAATTGAACTCAGGACAACGAGGGTCGGAGTCCAGTGCTCTAACCACTAGACCATCGCAGCAGTCATATATTATGTATATATATATGTATATATATATATATATATATATATATATATATATATATATATACATGTATATATATATATATATATATATATATATATACATATATATACATATATATATATATATATATAATATATATGCATATTTATATATATATATACATATATATATAATATATATATATACATATATATGTGTATATATATATAAATATATATACACATATATATTTACACACATATACATACACACACACACACACACACATATACATACACACACACACACACACACACACACACACACACACACACACACACACATGTATATATATATATATATGTATATATATATATATATATATATATATATATATATATATATACATATATATATATATATATATATATATATATATATATATATATATATATACATGTATATATATATATATATATATATATATATATATATATATATATATATATATACATGTAAATATATATATATATATATACATATATGTACATATATATATATATATATTTATATATATATATATATATATATATATATATATATATATATATATATATATATATATACATGTATATATATATATATACATATATGTACATACATATATATATGTATATATATATATATATATATATATATATATATATATTTATATATATATATATATATATATATATATATATATATATATATATATACATGTACATATATGTATATATATATATATATATATATATATATATATATATATATATATATACATATATATATATATATATATATATATATATATATATATATATATATATATGTATACATTTACTCACACACACACGGAAAGTTCAGTGCATCGCATCAGAGAAGTACAGCTCTTACATGCTGTTCAGTACGAAGATCAGACAATGAGTTGTCTAAATCTGCTAGCCATGGGTTCTGTAAATGTGTACGATTTATGTTGAAAGAATAATTTGGGTTATAAAGTGAACGAATAAGTGAAAAATTGAAAAAGTTAGTGAGGCTTTGTGAGCCGGGAAGTGAGAGCGAAGGAGCAGGAGGTGAGAATTGACCGCGAATACTGCATGGGAAGCGTTTTCGCGCAGAGACAACTGACGTGAATATAGCTCTACTTCTGGTGTTTGTTTTATGATTAACCATGCATACTAGGAAAATGAATCTAACAGAAGCAGCAGACAGAATTGCGGCTCTTGAAGTCAAGGTAGAAAACCTGGTAGCAGAATATTTGAAAATACGCATAGAAAACGTAAATTTGAAGGAATTTTTGGATCATTTGGGCAGGAACACAACCATTCAGAGAGAAAATACTAAAAAGTCTGACATGATAATAAAAAAAAATCAAGGAAAAGGTAGAAACCAAGATTGGTAACAGTAGTAGGATATCATAGCCCACAGGAGGTTGGAATTATTCAAAAAAGGGAAAGAAACGCCTTTTAACCCCTTGGTGCCGGGTATGACGTGTACGTACGTGCTATGCCCACAGTGAGCACTTGTTTGATTGTTTTCACGCATAGATGGCAACACTTGTACTAACTCCCCAATGAGCCAGTTACGAGCACCGCCCGTCTCGCCCGTTTACCCGTTTCTTTGATTTACAAAATATTTTACGTAATCTTATTTTGCTGTTACTAATGTTAAAAAAGCACTAGTGAAAAATACGTTTTCCCCGCCATTTAAATCAGACATTTCACGAAAAACATAGAAAGTGGGCACAATATTTTCCCCATTTTTTGTTCATTTTCCCCGGCACCATTGGGTTAAAGGCGACATTCATGAATAAGCAAATGGTAACTAATGCAATAATGCTAAAGGCGTGGCCACAAGAAGAATATAAGAAAATCTGGATAAGAGAAAGTATGACCAAAGCTGACGGATAAATACTGCATAAAAATGGAAGAAGTAAAAAACAAAAACGAACCAAAGACTGAAGAAGAAAAAACTTGTTCATTTAGAGGGTGAGAGACCTCCAGGCAAAACAAGTTTACTATCGGAACTAAAATGTGGAGACAGTCATTATCCTTGCGTCCAAAAGGAATGCCGAAAGATTATATTGAAATAGTTTATACAAATATAGATGGCTTATGTTCGATCTAGAGGTAATTATTGAAAGTAATGAACCAGATGTCATATATATCACTGGTAGAAACAAAGAGTAACTATAATAATAACACTGTGCATACCACCTCATACATCGGTGCGGTCACAAGGAAATTACTAAAAACTTATTCAAGAAATGTTAAAGAGCCTGGAAGGAGTGCTACAACTTTCGGAAACTAATGCAAAATGAATTCTTGTAACGGGATTTTAGTAACAAAATTGACTGGGAAAGTGTCAATCCCAGAGCTCAGCCAGATTCGTGGAATGCAAAATTACTAGAAGTCATAAATGACTTTTGTCTCTTCCAGAATGTAACAGAACATACCAGGATAAAAGGGCTAGATAGACCGTCTATGCTTGACCTAATATTTACAAAGCATTATGATGACATTAAGGATATGGAGTACTACTCACCTCTAGGAAAAAGGGATTATGTAGTAATTAAGTTGAATTAAGTCTGCTACAGGAAAAAAACTCATCGTAGATAAGGAAAGAAAATGGAAGTATAATTGCGAGGTAATTATAGAAGCCTTAAAAATTTCTTTGATGGCATAAACTGGGAAACCCTCCTGAACAAAGAGAACCTTGATATGTCTATAAACAAGGAGTACAAAAATTTGTATCGAGATTCAATGAAGCAAAAAATGGCCAAAAGGGGTTCAATGATAAATGCAAGAAAATGAGAGAAAACAAACAACTTTGGGGAAGGTTCAGAAGACATCTCGGGTAGCGTATGAAAGGTATAAGATAGGAAGAAATAAGTATACCCAAACCATGAGGGAGGCGATATTAGACTTTCAAACGGATAGAATCAATAAATGTACAAACAAACCAAAGCTCTTCTTTAACTACATATATAGTAAGACTAAAAGTAGAGATCAAATTAGTACCATCAAAGACAATAACATCATTTATTATAAGGAAGATGAAATGTGTGAAATCCCTAATTAGAAATTTCAGTCAGTGTTTGTTCAGGACCCATACTATGAAATGACAAGTAAATCAGAATATCAAAAATATCACACTCAAAAAGAATGAAATAAAAGTCCTACTGAAAGGCTTAGACAAGACTTAAGTAGAGGGACCAGATGAGATATCTAACTGGGTTCTGAGGGAATGTGCCGAAGAATTATGTACTCCGTTATTGACAGTATTCCAAAAT